CCATATCGTAGTTAATATTGCAACCATAGTATCTATGTCTATTAGCCAGTTAAGAATCCGAACCGGATGCTAAACCACTCACGATTCATGCGACATAAAGAAGCCTTTTGCTATTCTCTCGCTCCGGTCAGTGCGGCAAACGTTTTGCGATGTAACCATCCCCCCTCTCGAGACATCATTGGGTTTGTGATGAGCGTAACCGGGGTATAGCAACAAACGGGAAAGAGGAACACACCTCCGTCCCATTTACGGATAGTCTCTAAGGCCAATTGAGTACATGCCTCTCCAAACGAAGCTGGTTTACCCTGCCTACCAAGTGATGCCCTGTGACAAACACAGACCCAGGCGGCAGAGCGAGTCATAGGACGCACACGCCCTTTCTCGCATCTGTTCGACCGGGTGAGTAACCCGAGGTGGAAAAACTACCTCCACAAAAATCCAGCTGTGGTTCATTTGTACTTTTATTCACCGATAGTTTGTCAAATGTCAAACCACGATCACAACTCATAAGCCCGTGCATCACCCACCTGAATCGTACATGTGCATCTCGTGTGGAAATCTCCCATTTTAGCTTTAAGCTTTCTCTGGTCGGTGGACTATGCCATTTTATGTTAGATCATCGGCCATTTAGTCAGTAGTGCAAAAACTGGCATGTGCAGTTAACGTAAGTTCATAGGTGTCAGTGATCGCAAGGCGAACCCCTCATGGATCAAGACGGCAAATTTAATCTGGCTGAACGTGTCAAGTTTGAGCGAAGGAAAACAGGAGCAATTCCAGTGAATCACTGCGATTGAGGATAAATGGACAACAGAGCGCAATGGGTGGACCCCGAGATTTCATCAGCAGTAGGAAGGCAACAACATAGATTTAAACACCACCGAACCGATTTAACGAGCAGTTTGATTGTTCTGTTATTAAAGCGCCTTTATTTGAAATGCAAGTGCTGTGTTTTGAACACTATAGAGGCGTTCCTTCGCTATCTTCTAAATTATTCACAAACTGCGTTGGGTAACCAAATGGGGTATTCACGATAATCTGTCCCCGCTGAGACTGCTTCTTAGCCAATTCCAGCGTTATCCTGTCCTCCAACCGGATTCAAATGTCTGTTGCCCCCGGATCTCCCAAAGTTGCACAACTTACTCGTCATCTACTGGGAGTCACGGATCATGTCATTCAGACTTTGTCTGGAGACTGAGATTAGACAGACTTCGTCGCCCCCAATCACCGTTTGTGGAAATATCGTATAATCCAAATCGATTTTTCTGCCAACTTATAGGCTGAGTGATAATAGGCAGGAAATAAATGATTAGTCTCGCTTTGTTTACTGGATGTGGGTAGAAGCCTGAAATGACTAGATGATAGAGGGAAGTGTGTATGGCGAGTGAACGGCTGGTTCTAACGCTTTCATTATCTCCTGAACCGTTCAGTCAAACTAGGTGAAGCTGACCGTTTAAACCTTGCCAATCTGGCTATCAAATCCGTGTCACACACTATCAAATGGCATGCTACATTCGACGTGTTCGTGAGCACCATCGGCTTGCAGTATCCTCCAGGATTCACTCCCTGGACAGGGACAACTGGCAGGTTTACCACGCCGTGATCTACTTCGAGAAACACCGATTCCGTGAGACTATACTCCGGATGTTGAGCAGTATCCATAAAACAAACAAAAATAACTTGGTAGTGTTGCAATAGGCTGCATGTGCATGGTCATGCGATCAGAGGGATTACGAATATCAACCAATTTTAAAACATTAGACAACAGTAAAGGACGTTTGTAACTTCAGTCACCGATACATATGCCAAATGCTGTTAAACTTCTATCATGTATCTGATCGGACGAAATGGACGGGCACAGATGGCCTTGGCCAAAAACAGACGTTTTCTAAATTTTCACAGAAAATACGAGAGGATTATAAACATCATTACTCCGATGCGATCGAATAACAGTTGATGCCATTGGAATATAAATCGGAACTAACCACCTACACTCCAAATAAGCGAAAGGAATCTGCCATCTGGCTTGGTATTTCAGTGGACAACCATGAAAATTACGTACAGACCACGTTGATATAGCTTGCAGTTTCTAATAATAATAATAATAATAATAATAATATTAATAATAATAAGCGGAAGTACGTTGATGCATGACTCTGTACGCTATATTGTGGCACAAATGATGCGTGCACGATATCCAATGAAGACAATTTGTTTCTCAAACGTTGGAGCTCACTGTTGTAATCGGAATAGTACTGAATGTAGAAATATGAGAACCCGTAATGTACTGCTCAGAACTGGATTGGCTTCAACTCGAAATGCGGACACCAATGAAATACACGAGGATTTGATAGCAGCAGTGCTTATGTTTATTGATGGAATTAGAGCATGTTTTATAGAAGGTAATAGACCATATGATTGGTTGAACGACCGGCGTTCAATCACGTAACCGTTTGCGCCAACGCATCACATGTACTAACTTGGATGTCATGTTCGCCCGGTGTACCATTGACCGAGGTTCCTGAACGATGTTTGGATAACCTGGTCGTGCTTGAAATGCGGTCACGGAGGTCTGGTTCACCACACTAGTGTTTGTGATATCTGTCTACAGGATTTTCCGAATAGAATTAGTTGAATACACAACTCGTCATGGTTCTACCTGATTCCGCTCTATTCACTGGGTTTTCAATCCGAATGTCAATTTGCACTAATCAATTTCGAACACTACACATAAGTAGAATAAATAATTTTATATTTCACACTTCGCTGAGTTCAAACTGCTTGCCAGACGAATTCTGATATTATAAGCTGCATAATAAGAAAATTATACACAGGCTTCCCCTGAACAGGATACTGCCATGTTTCAGAGACTAAAGTTGGCAAATATACTCGATAATTTCAAAATCGGAGTCTTCAGTTAGCCAAACCATATAGATAATGTAGTAGGGTGATGTGAGAATACCTGACTCTAACGGGGACCGCTGTTTTATTGATCCCATCTTACATTATTTGGACGGAGTGAAACGTCCAAGTACACCACACGTTCCAATCGAACCATCAACCAGGAAGATCTGTGTATGCTTACGTGTGTCGTTCGTATGTCTCTTTCACTTATCTGGAATCAGCGGAACCTATTTAAGACGCCTAATCACATGGGAATATATTACGAGAATACAGGGAAGGCGATAAGCATTCATAAAACAAGACATCAGATTCCAACCGCAGGAGGATTTAAGAGGCTGAGTAAATGTTGCATGATAGGTCAATAACAAACCCGACCACCAAAGCTGCTGAATAAAGTAATAAAAATAACATTAACATGTGAACGATTTTTAGGCACGATGAACAGAATATTGGATATAAAACCACCGTGTTTTCGACTGAGATGTACATACAGTTCGATTGACACAACCGATTACATTTGAGCTCTCGTGGAATCAATGATCGAGATCAAATGGTGTGTCCGCATTGGTAGTTGGCTTGACTCGCGCGTTAAAAATCGCCTCTGTTTGCCGCCGTACATACTAAACTGATTTCTAAATTATTATCCTAAAGACGTCTTTGAAATCTAAACGAGCATCAAAGGATAGTGAATGTGTGAAAAGTTGTATTGAATTCAAAACTGAAGCATTATTCTTTAAGTTCCACTTATGCTCCCTTAAGAAACACTCATGGTTTCCTTCTTACAACAATAAGATTCACAAATCGACAGTAATACAGAAAGCGGATCAAGCTCGATCAGTGTTTGTACATCCGTTTAGCACAAGTTTTCCTTTCCACTGGACGAGAATTCTGCTGTGATACAATTGCTTCAATGTCAAGTCTGAACTTAAAAATGCTCGGCTCTCTCAGCTCTTGTGAAAACATCGCTATTAGTTGCTTCTGGGTAATATTCATTTCCAAGGCATATCAGTGCAGTTCCGTAGACCCCACTTTGAAGTCTACTGGAAGGCCGCAACTGTTATCGCAAGAGGATGGTACGGACTGGTATTCGGACTAAAATCCTACTGAAGGCAACAAGGTCACGTAGTGCTAATGCGCGTTGTGAGTACAGTTAATTCTATTCGCGAAATCATGCAAGTAAATAACACTAACACTAGATAATTATTGGCTGATTCTTTAATGTCGAATCGACAACGATATGGATCATTCCATTGCCCTTTTACATTTAACCAATCCAGTTCAGGACAATTGATACCACAAGATTGATCGGTAAATCATAGGCTTTTTCGAAGTTAAAACGTGATGTGTGCGTACTCCTTACACCATCACCACAAGATGACTCATCGGAAAGCAATTTGTTACACTCGACGGTGCGATATACGACTACTTAGGGATGCAAATTATAAGTCCAATACCGGGTCAAAGCAACTGTATATTCGTTCCAGTGTGTCTGAATTTCGTGCCTCTTTTATGGTAACTATTTCTGTTGATCATTTCACAAGACTGCAATATTCGGGTCTCTATGTTCCGTCAACATTGTTCACAGCACGCAAAATTCCGAATAATTATTCTAACTTCAGTCCATTTCCGTGGTGTGATGATATGATAGAATCATAATAAATTTCGTGATAGGTTCGCGTCGATCAATATGAGTTCAACTTTACTGGTACCGCTGTCAGCAGATGGGAGGTCGTAGCGGCATATTCATTTTTGCCGTAATAGGACTTTCCGGTGTGAAGTGAATTACGGTGCACTTAAGTGAATTCCAATACTTATCTTATTTGTGAAACTGGTTAGGAAGAAATCGGGAGAATCTGGTGTTCTGGACCGGTTGAAATCTGTCTTGCAAACAGAATTTATGTTACAAGAACCACATGAACGGCGATGGATTGATAGCTGTCTGTCTCCAATCATTTCATTGCATATATCATTTAATTCTGTTGATTTTCATCAGTATATATGGCGCTACGTTTGCAGAGATTTATTTTAATGTTTGGGTGTCGAAATCTTTGAGCAGGCGATTTGCAATCCTGATTCGTGATTCACTTCCATTCTTATCGCTACTTTCTGGCATAGAGAAATGGGGCTGCTATCCATTGAGCAATCGTACCAGCGTTCCCATCGGTCCGATATTGCGGAACGAACGGATCGGTCAAAACTACGAATGTGTTTGTATGGAGTGCCCGCGAGGCGAACAATTCCTCATCGTCTGAATTTGAAATTGAAATGTCGAAATGAAGAAGTATCCTCTACTGAGAATGAAGTATTGAGAATTCGTCACAACTGCCCTATAGAAACAAAATCCACCGAAGCCTGTAAGAAGTAAGCGATTGATCCGAAAACTAAGTCTTTGCGAATATATGTATAAAGTTGCACGGTTTAAAACAAGCTGCGGAAAGCTAAATCATTATCACTAGCAGTCAAGATATGAGTAGATTGAATTTGTGATGCAGTTTTCTGGTGAGGATATGAAAATCTTTTTAAACAGGGAATGTCGTGCCTGGTAGATAGGTTTAAGGGTTTCTTTAAGCTAGCTTCCAACTATATCAGTGGCGAAACCTGATAAATCTAGCCACATTTAAATATTTTCACCTCGTATTTTCACTGCAGATGCTTTTCTTAGCTCTTCACAGAGAGCATCGATCTCGATCACAGCATCCGTAACGACGTCAATGCCGATTGCATTGATTGACACTGGGACAAGTGAATGAGTCGATTTAATCACTTGAGTCATCTGTGAGCGCGCGCAAACAGGTTTACCGCGGGAGTTTTATTTCCGTCACAGGATTATCACAGAAATATATTATTCCAGATTGTTAATAGGGTTTTGTAACTAATAAACACATGCCCCAAAACAAAATAACATTTTCGTTGAATGCATACTAACTACCTGCTTGCAATTCCGATATGCCCAATAAATTCGTTTATCAATCTTTCAAGTCGAATTCCGTATAAATTTGCAGCACGGCACACAATATCGCAAAAGTATCCCAAGGTACAGAGGAATGTTGTACATGGTTGAATATGACGACTGTGATACCATTGGTTAATGAGACCGCATTCCACAAAGACATCGTGAACGTTTTTGGATCGTGATTGGTCCTTCAGTGATATTTATTGATCCGCACACTGTTCCCCCGGCATTTGGTTTGCATTTGTGGTCGGACTTCTGGTTGCGCGTTCCCTGTGTATGATAATGGGCTTCGGTGATTCAGCAAATAAATGTTGCTCGGTGAGTCGCTCGATATTATAGTTATTCCCATTATTGTCACCGTAATCAGAGTTATTATTCCGATCTCTGCTCATAATACTTAACTATCCTACTTATCGGTATCAGATGGTCCCATTTGGTAACTGCAGATATCGGTGGAATTCGCATTTTAGTCTTGTCACTAACCGAACTCTTGCAATCGTAGATTACTCAATCAACTGGGTGAACGTTATCCTACAGAACCCCATCTGACTTTCGTTATCGGAAGTTCTTCGAAAAGCGTCGAATGTTTGGAAAACGTTTGATTTTGTTTTAAGGAAGATTTTTCTTTCAGTACGTGAATGTATGCCTCTTTTTAATTTCGGAACCTAGGATTATATCCCGTTATGTGAACATGAGTAACATTCTCCATGAATTCCAAAGAGTCTTGTGTCGACTATGCTGACTACAGGGCGTTTTTTGCACCAGTCACGATTTTATTTTATCCGCACAGACATTCAAATGAATATATTGTTGGCGCACGTTACCCGTGGGGACCCCTCCCGAGGTTTTTAAGGTTACCAACTTTGACTCCCCTTATTTAAGTCCTTTAACAATGTTTTTTTTTATTGAAATTGGTATGGCTTTCCCATCTTTAAGTAATATTTCTCATTTACTGATTTATTTACTTCGGTTACGTAACCCTACTGAGGTGCTTCAGTAGGGTAGTAACCGATCACTTTGTTTTTATTTTTGACCTTGTATGATTGAAACCTAAAGGAAGGCTATTTTCAACGGGTCGAAGATCGACCAGCATCCGTACTCTGCCTATACTGAAACGCTGGGTGATGCATGGAACTACGGTATGTACAGAAGAGTGGGTAGCGTACCGTTCATTATGTTCTTTGGGATATGTTCATATATGCGGTAATCACTCGGACGGCTTCATCAATCCTGTCACGGGAGTGCATACAAACAAAGTGGATGCATTCTGGAGCCGTATAAAATGCAAACTGAATAATGTAACAGGATCTATCGGTGAAATGACCTGGGACCACCTAGATGAAGTACAATACCGCATGTGGTTTGAATTTTCAGTTCAGATGTTCCAGAATGACATTGACAAGTTCCTCAACATATCAGACGGTTGTATCCCTGTTGAACATTCACTAGATGCCTTTTTATATTTAAAATTGATAGAATAAATATAGAATAAATCAGTGTTGTTTTATAGTCAATAGGACATTGGATACTACTTAGTCAGCATACATATCGATCATGTTGGTAAGAGGGATCCCCGAGGGTAACGTAAACCCAATAATCTTTAGGAACTACAAAAGAGAAATTGAACGATGAACATCAGTGAACAATACGGAGGAAGTGGCATAGTCGATGGACATGGTAGCTCAAGAATTGGCCTTTCTTTTTACTTCACTCGTACATTACAAACATCCACTCGGTTGGCGTTAACCGCTGGCACCTGTGAATTCCTTGGGTAAGAAGCCCCGATCTAGCATAAACTGCTATGCTGGCCAAAAGCATTGAAAACCCAACGTAGAAATCACGAAGCACGTGACCGTTTGGGGCAAGAACCGTTGTCCAGATAGCCATACACTTAAAAAATCACGTGTTTTTTTTTCTTAAGAAAAAGCAATTGTTGGATCGCACGAAAACGGCACGTAAATCACATGCCAAAGGCTCGATCATTTAGGTTTGTTACATGCAAATTCACACCAGACCCGGGTCAACAAGAAGCCTGAACTCCCTGAATGTTTTCAAACGATTAGCTCGCGTTGGTAAGTGAACAATATGGCTCACGTTACCATCCGGCACCCCCCGTCAGCGATTTTCGTAAAAATAAAAATACTGCTCATAAGTAGTGAAACATTTCCCCGGAAATTGAAGCACAGAAATAAAAAATAATCTAATAGATAGTAAATGGTATTCAATATGGATACAACTGCGCAAGATGTTGCAGATAAATATCAAAGTTATTTTTAAACGTCTGTATAGAAAGACTAAACCACATTCGCTACTGTACTTCACCTAGATGTTCCAATATCGCATTTCAGACCGACCCCGTAGCGTTTTTCAAGCGTCTTTTGATATAGTTCCAAAAAGGACTCAACTTTATTGGTATGAACACGAGGTACGGGGTTGACGAAACCGTCTATGTGGTAGGCGCATATATGTTTGTAACCTAGGGAACAAAGTGATCCGGGCCGCGGGAGGACTCATGCATATTCATTGTACGACCACATGCACAAGTAAGTGTTGGCGGCAGTGAATGGCGTTTCTGCACATACCTCGCACACGCCTCTCCTTGAATATGGTGTAGCA